AAATTATTTATGTTTCTAATATAACAATATTATCTTATGTACCCTTGCAGAATCCCCTTTTCCATTAAATTTTAATCCATTATCTCTAAATAGGCCCTGTTTCTCTATATTTTGTTTCTGTCGTTTATAACTTCTTTTCCTTTCTTTCTTCCCTCTCTTCTTCTCCCTCCCCTTTTTACCCCCTTGTCTCTCTACTTCTAATTCTCTCTTCTGCATTTCCCTCTTCTGTTGCTTTCTGATTTTATACTTATTTTTCACTCTATTCTTTTTGGAGTTGTTTTTCCCAATCTTAAACTTTCCATTCTCTTTCCCCCCTTTCCTTTTTTCCCCCCACCTAAGATTACTTGTTCATTAAAGATGCCTTCTTCTTTTTCCCAATCTTCTTGTTCTGCAGGCATTTCTTGTTGTTTCTCATAATTCCAAATCTCCATTTCCAAAAACTAAAATACGAAGCCAAAATAACCTCTCCCTTCTTGGGCATCTTCTTTGTACTTTTTAAGTTCCATTTTCAATTCTTCTAAAAGTGGAGCCATTTTAAACAGTTTTAAACAACCACCCGATTGATTTTAGTCATTCAAATACAATAACCAAAAATCCAGAAATCATCGAGTAATCCAAATAGTTCCAAGTTATTTCTTCTTATTTCTTTTTCCACTTTCTCTTCCTGGGGTTTTTGTTGCGATATTTCAGTTAAAATGTATCTTTTGGAAGTCTTGTTGAGATTTTGGTGTAAGTTCGTGTTGATTCCAGGCAATCTCCTCCCTTCCAGATCCTGCCCTTTTGTTCTTTTTCTCTCCTTTCCTGTTTTCAAAAGCTTTTGATTATCCGGAAATCTTTATTATCCCTTTGACTTTTTATTTTCAGCATTAAATGCCTATTAATGTCAAAGTGGATTTTTTTCCAATTTCTTGCTTAAGTCTCTTAGCTGTCAGAATAAGAAAAGGAGAGAAAAAAAACCAAATCTTTTCTTTTCTCTCTCCTTCGCAGCTTAAAAATCTTCTTAGGGAACAATGTTATTGTTTTTTTTTTTAATAGTTTCAGTTCCAGGGTACCTTATTTGTTGCTTTTGCTGTTTGACCCGGTCAACCAAAACTTTCTCTTCTTATCTTCGTCCTGCACATTCTTTTCTGGTCGAGTTCTTCTTTGTGGTGGCCATTTCTGACCACTGCTACAACCGCCTTCGGGAAAGGGAGTAATGGCCAGCTGGGGAGAAAAGATGTGGCTCTCCTCAACCCTGCAGGCAGCCTCCTCCTTCTTCACCACCTCTACGGGGTGGCTTAGCCCCGAAACCAGCCGGCTCGGGGCGCTCCAGCGGCGAGCACGGATCGAAGCCTCGCAGAAATGAGGTTTCGGTCTGTTGCCGAAGAAGCTCAAACTGGAAGATCTGTATCTGTATTGTTGTGGGTATTTTGTTTTTTCTAGTTTTGGGAGTTGTTATTGGTACATATAGTTTAATGACTCTTTTGACTTCAAGTAAAAATATGTTGTAATGGTCTTCTACAGTATTGCATCCAGTGAATAGAAATTGCCAATCAAGGGATGAGAAATCGTCGTTTGTAAGATCATAGCTGCCTTTTTTGAAGTTATAATTGGGGATTCCGTCGTTGTGATGATTTTTGTGTGGACGTATGTTGAGACAAAAGTCAATCATGTTGCGGTCACTGTTGGAAAAGGGTTCTTTAATTTATATTCCGTAAATTGAATTCAAACTATTGCAGAAGATGAGGTCGAGGCAGTTGTTAAGTCTAGTGTTGTTGGTTACTAGTTGTTCTAGTCCCAGATTTGTTACTGCATTGTAGAAGGTTGCATGTGTGGGTTCAGTTGTACATTTGTTAAGGGTCCAGTTAATATGAGGTAGATTGAAGTCACCAAGAAAGATAAAAGCGTGTGGGCAGGATGCTGCCCATGTTAGTAGTGTATTTAGCTTGTTTGCATGTTCAATGTCATAATCAGGGGCTCTGTAACATAGTAAGAACCGAAATGTGATATTTAAGGACAGTTCACAGACGATGGTCTCAGGAATAGCAAGCTCCTGGGTAACTTGGATGTTTTTTAGATGTAGGGACTTTTTATAGAAGATAGCAACACCACCTCCTCTACGGATTTCACAATCTGATCGGTAAACATGATAGTCTATTACTGTGGTAACTTCAAGCATTTTCTGGGTTTGATTATTCACTTGAATCTGAGTTGAGTTTTTTTTTCTTTTTTCTTTCCTGCATTGGAATTTTTGGAAGTAGACATTCCATGTGCCTTCTAGCTCATTTGGACTAATGTCCAGAATTTGTTTACTTTATTGTGAATTCCAAAATGATATTTATCTGCTCAACAAATTCCCTCTTCTTCACTGACTTAAAAACCATTCAAGTATTTATTGTTTGGTTAAAGATATACTAAGAATAAATTAAATCAAATTGACTTGTTATTCTGTTTATGTCAAAAACTACAAAGACGGTCTTGGGACCACAAAAGCTAATGTATTTATTATGTAGTTATATTAACATAAATAGACATAACAAACAATAAACAAAAGCTTGAGCATATGCTTCTTGTTGAAATACTAAATAAATATGGGAACAAATTATTCCTACCATCTCCCTTTATTCATTTTGAATTTGATTTATTGCTTCTATTGCAGCCTCATATGGACTGCTCTAAAAGCCATTTAGGATCATTAAAAGATAATGTATTGGCAGGATCTGCTGTTGCATTTTCAGTCTCTTACCTTACGTTATACACTTGAATGGAAAAAATAGAACTTTTTACAGCATACAGTAAACACACTTCTATAACAGTGCAGCCTTCTCAGTAAAAAAAACACCATATATTTAATATATTTAGATAATATCCTCTCAGCTTGTCTAGCAATGGCAATTACATTCCATGGCAGAAGAGCAGTCTTTAGCATTAAACAAATTACAGTGTTCAGAAAATTTCTGATCACTGTGTAATGTGAGTGCTGATTTTCTTTTTCAGTGGAACTATTTTTCAGTGGACCTATTCCTTCCTAGTTCTAAGAGGAATAAATTGAAAATATTGTTTTATTTAGTGGCCATAGTAGGTGACTCAGGATGTGTTCAAAGCTTTCAACAGAAAACGTTTAAAAGAACATGCATACAAAATAGAAGATGGATGTAATTACAAAGGAGTTGCAGCACATAGTAGTTAATATCCACAGAATATCAGAACTGAAGAGCAAAAAGAACTTAGATTTGCAAAAGAAATGAAAGGCAAAAAAAGCTATTTCCTATCATACTAGAAAAAAAATAAAAGAAACAGGAAGGGATAGGTGCAGTACTATGAGCAGATGGTTAAAAAATAATACATGGTGGGGAAAAGAGATGTCAGAAGAGATGTTAGTATTCTTCCCCAAGAATTGTGATCAAATGGACCTAAATTGAACAACTAAGAAGAGAATGGCAACCCAAGGGGAGCAAAAAGATAGCTACTTAAAGAAATAGATCAATGTTTTCTCAATCTCTGTAAGGTGAAGATGGAGGTGTTTAAACAGAGGCCTAGTTATGCTACCTGAGAACATGGAGATGCTGAATTCTAGTCCACTGTTAGGCATAGAGGCCAGCTGGGTTACCTTAGGCAGATCACTTTGTTTCAGCCCAGCTCAGATCACCCTACAGAGCTGCTGATGTGGAAAAATAAATCAAAGAAATAACTATGCCTGGCAGGGGTTTGTAGTACTAGGTTATTTCCAAGATCCCTTTAAATCCTCAGGTCTGATTCCATAAAATGTAATAAAATTGGGTGGGTTGGAAAAAGAAAGGAAAATGGGTGTAAATAGTTTGTTAAACTTAAAACCAAATGTTTTAAGAACTAGTAGCTTTAAGTGAGGAATGTTTAGAATAAAACACCTTTTCCCCCAGCACTTCTATAATTTTGAAGCTCCAGTGGAAACAAAGTGTTGTGGAAAAGCACCTCAAACATTTTCAGGTTTTCAGGTAGGGTTTGTTTGCACACTGAAAATTAAGTGGATCTATTCCAGGAAAGAACAGACTTAACACTAATTTAAAATTTATATTATGTCAGACATTACCATTGCATACATCATGCATCACACATTACATCAAAAACAGGTCTTTCATATTTAAGTACTGTATGCAGTTTATCCTAAAACTTCAAGTTATTTCCTACTTAATGCAAAGGTGATGGTACCTCGTTTTCACTTTAGGTTGTATACCTTGTTAGAAAGTGCAAGTAAAGCACGCGAGGTGCAGGTTTCAGTAAGTGGCTGGATTTCAATCTCTTTTCCATTTTCCTCCTTTCATCAGCTTTGATTATATTTGTGTTAAATTACAGATTATGAAGGTAACTTGTAATTATGTTCTTTATAAGCCACACGCTTCATTTCTTTCCAACTGAAACCAACTTCCTTTATGAGGTATTTGATATGGTAATAACGTCCCAATGGCAAATCCCCTGGTGCGGTTTGAATGGCAAATCCCCTGGTGCGGTTTGTGAACACACATCCGCACCAGATCACAAGCCCTGTAAGAGGCCAACGAGAAGCTGTGCGGATAAATGTGAAAGTGCATTTGTGTAAACAGATCGATGTGACTGCACTCAGGACAGGAGAGCTTTTGGATATAAAGACAAAGGAGTTGGGGAGGTTTAGATCCGCAAGTACGACGACCTGCGCGCCAAAAAAATACAACACTTGTTTATGACTGCGAGGGCGTCTGTGGTGAAAGACGTGGCAGCTCCGCAGAGAGAGAGAGAGAGAGAGAGAGAGACCCTTGTGGACGCAGACTTATGAGGTGTTTTTTTCTTCGCACCACAGCAGAACGGAAACTGACTGTGAAAGTGGGGGCGGGAAACAGTGCCGGGCACCCCCTTTTTCTGCAACTCCGCTGCGTGAGGAGGGGGAGGAAGAGGAGGAGGCGGCGGCGGCGACGTCGGCTGTAATCTCGGCTGCAATCTCGCCCGGCCCCCTCCCAGCGCCGCCCATCCGCCCCCAGCAGGCCGCAGAGGATCGACGCATCCTCGGCGTCTTTCTACCTCGCTTCGCCGCGCGCTTTTTGAGGCGGCTGCGCCGGAGTCGCGGCGGCCTTTTGTACCGGCCGGCCCGGCGGAAGGGGCCTGGGCGGCGCTTGGGAATGGGGTGCCGCAGCTGTTGCTCTTGCTTCATCGCGGGACGTCCGTTCTGGCAAGGCCGCGATGATTTTGTCCGCAGCCGCTTAATGGCCGGGTAAAAAGAGACGAACCGTCTGCGGCTGGCCGTGCAAGAGAACAGCCCGCGCCTTCCTCAGCCGCGGCGCCTTCCGCGGCTGCGGCTGCGGTTGCAATGAGCGAGCGGTCGCGTCTTCATCCGGAGAAGCGGGGAAGGCGCAGCCCATCCTCGACCTTCGGCCGCCGCCGGCGCCTCCTCCTCCTCCTCCTCGCCGCGCTAAGCTCACTGTAGACAGCGGCCGGCGATGTGGAGCTCCGGGGCCGCCGCGTTGCAGCTGCTCTCGCGGGCGACCAAGCACGCCTTCGCTCAGGGAGCCCGACAAGACCTGAACCGCTGGATACCGCCTCTGGGAGCCGCGGGCGAACCGACGGAAGCGGCGAGCAGAGGGGCGGCCGGCGAGCCGCTGCTGTATGGGGAGCAGAACGGGCTGTATCACTGCCCTCCGCCTCATCCTTCTCAGGAACCGTCGGTGGAGCTCCTGCTCTGCCAGCTACCCGAAGCGGGACACGGTTTGGGGGAGAGCAGGACGTGGCACTGCTCGGGATGCCTGCTGGGCACCTGCTGGTGCAAGAGTTGCCTGAGCGTGTGTTTTCTGGCGATGTTGTGCTTCGCCTCGCTCGCCTTGGTGCGCCAGTACCTGCGGGACCTGATGCTCTGGGCGGAGAGCTTGGACAGCCTGGCCGGCGTGCTTCTCTTCACCGTGGGCTTCATCGTGGTGTCCTTCCCTTGCGGCTGGGGATACATCTTACTCAACGTGGCCGCCGGCTATCTCTACGGCTTCGTGCTGGGCATGGGTCTCATGGTTCTGGGTGTCGTGATCGGCACCTTCATCTCCCACGTGGTCTGCAAGAAACTCCTGGCCCGATGGGTGCTGGCCAGGATCCAGGGCAGCGAGAAGCTCAGCGCCGTCATCCGTGTGGTGGAAGGAGGAAGTGGCCTCAAGGTGGTGGCCTTGGCTAGACTTACACCGATACCCTTTGGACTTCAAAATGCAGTCTTCTCTGTGAGTAACTGTCAAGGAGTCCTGGATGTGCCTTGCTTAACAAACTGCAGGTGAAAGGCTCCTTCTTGAATCCAGTGCCGATTCCAACTTAGGGCTTAGCAAGGTGCTACTCTCCAGGTGTCTTGTATTAGCTCCCACCAGCCCCATCTTGCACAGGATTGTGTGCCTTTTAGAAGAGCTAGATAGTGCTAGATTGGCTATCCCACCAGTTCAGATCCAGTTACAGGACAAAGAGGTTGCAAATAATTGGTTTATCATTCAGTTGTAGAGATAGGAAAAGTCAGAACCCAGAAATAATCAGAATATATGTTCCACCTGCTCCCATGGTAGTGTTTTGGGAGAATTCTTAAATCTGCACTGATTGTTCAAAGATCAATATAGGTCTGATATTCCCTGCAGATGCATGTTATGATAACCCACAATAGGAAAGCTTCCTTGAATGTAACTTGACAGGAGAAACAAGGGAAGAGGGATATTTATGTGTTTTCCTTGTCTCAAATCTCAGTCAAATAGCATCTTTTCCTGTGTATTATACAGTACTTTGCTCCCTGGAGATAGAAGGCATTGCTAAATATTCTTTCATCTAGAAAAAAATAAAGCTGTGCTATTCAAAAGAAAACACAATCAGAAAATGAGTTAAATTATGTTCTCTTGGTATCAGTTCTCTGCTTCTGATTATCAGAAAGGTGTGGTTTTTAACATTATTTTTACAACTCTATTGTATGCTACCTTTCCTAACCAATGAGAGCAATACCGGTACATATTTAGATATTAGTAGGCTATTACATTCCTACTTATTACTATTACATTCCTACTTATTCAGTGTTTAGAAGACAGTATATTTACTGTCTTTTAAATTTGACAGAACTTGGTCCAGCACAAGGAGCTTCCAAAACAATTCTGATGCAGGAGTTGTTTTAACATAAGAATCAACTTGTCTCTACCCTACTTACAAGAAATTGTGCTTAGAATCTGAAAGCCAATTTTGTGCTGATTCTGTACCCTCTGAAGGTTTATTTGGTACATTTTATATTTTTTAAAAAAATGAATAGTTGGTTTTGGCCTGTAACATAACACCTCTGTATTTCCCTGCGTTCAAGGCGAAATATATTTAGTCCTTGTGTTTGGTCCTTGAAGTAGTTTACATTTTATGATTGATTGGGAAGCCTGGGTTGTTTGTAACCAGAAGATATCTAAAAAAGTTTTATTTGAGAAACTAGGAGCATATGGAAGCCTACCCCTGTTGTTATGATTGTAGTACAATTAATATGCAAAATGTATTTTCATTTCTTTTTTTTTCTTTTTTTGGCTTAGTGTACACAAATAGAGAAAAAAAGGATAAAAAGAAAAACGAAATGAAAGAAAAAGAAAGTCATAATGTACAATTAAAAAAACCATATAAAGTATTAAATCTTGAGGAATAATATTGATCAAATCTTTCCATTACATCAATAAAAGGCCAGTTCAAAAGCAAAGTGAATGTAAGTCTTCAGTCCAAGATTGTAATTGAGGATGGCATTTCATACATAAATGTATTTCTATTGCAAAGGAATAATCTTTTTTGCTATGTTGTAACCTGGTAAATCTGTAGTTCTCTCAATACTAATATATTTCAAAATGTTGATATACGATTCAAATAATATTCATGCCTTAGACGGCCCTCCTCAAAGCCCTATTAACAACTAAAAGATACTCAACCAAAATTAGAACAATAATAGAATATATCCCTAAGCATAAATGCCCTTTGTCATTTGGTATAACCAGTTCAAAGTAGACAAAAATTATTTTAATGCATTCTTTGAAGTACCTGATAAAAATGAAAAAAAAAGTTGAATGAGTCTCATCCTGAAGTTATAAATAACATACTTAATGTTCTTTAAGACTCTTACTCATTGATTTATGAATATAGGATATTTCAATACTTTATTCCAAAGTACTTTAAAATAACTGAAAATACATTTCAGTGATGGTACTCAGGATTTTGAAATGCATCTGGAACAAAAAGTTTTTAATAAAAAGTTTTAATTAAATATACCACTGATCTTAATTTTTAGACAATCCCAAATTGCCCTTGCAATAATTCAGATTTAAACAAATTAAATTAAGCAAATTCAATTCAGTTTTCAATTAAACAATTATGTTCAGTGGAAATCTCAAACTCAAACCTCCTTTCCCAGAAGTCATCTGAGTCTTGACACCTTGGTCCCACTTTCTGTTCTTTGAAATAATGGCTTGCTCAAGCACATTGTCACCTATCTTTCTTCCAGGAAACACTTTATTTGGTGCTCTCCCTAAATATTCCTAAATGGGAATATTGACTTATGTGTATCCATCCTTTGGTAATACTAATTTACAATAACAATCTTTTCCCATAGGTCCTTTAGGATTTTGTCTATGGAGCTCTCAGTCATCCAGATCATGATTGTCCCAAAGGTGCTTTCAGTCCAGTTGCCTCTTGAAAAAGCACTTTGGAATATTTAAGATTTTAAACATTTTTAATAGTAAACTAAAATTGAAAAATTGAAAAAAATCAAACTAAAATAAGGGAGATTGCCATGGGTAATTAGTCTCAGGTAATTAAAAGAATTTTCCCACCAAGCCAGCTGGATGACCTTGGGCCATTCAATCTCTCTCAAACCAAGCCAAGGGCATCTTTTATTCAACTTCCTCAGGATATCCCCATGTGTGAGTAAATAATTCCAGTTGTAAATACCTTGCTGAGGGATTAAAATATTGCATATCAAGGAATATTGTGCCAGAATTTAAACTGGCATATCAAGGATTTTTCCACATCCATCAAAACCTCCACTGCCAACTCTAATTGTTCTGAGCATGTTTCTAAAATATCAAGGGATAATGGTGTGTTACCATTATTTCATACTATGTTAGGCTTGAAATTCTTTTATAAAACCATATTGCATTAGAATAGATAATTGAAGGTAATATTGTCTGTAGGACGCAAAGAAAAAAATCTACTGCGAATTCTGTATGGTATCGGGAAGGGCATCGGGCCAGTAAATGCTCAGTGCCATCGAGTCGCCCGACTGCCCTGATTTAAGGGATTACAAAATCATAAAAAGGGAGTTATTGTCTGTAATCTGTATGACAGGCTTGTAATAAAATAATTGGTGCAACGTTTAAACAAGAAATTCTGCAAGCTCTTGCAGTACAGTAAAAGCAGAGTTCTTAGCAGTTTCAAATCATAGATATATGCACCATATTAAAGGACTTGGAAAGAATGTTTTAAAAAAAATAATTGTAAACTTCAAACAGTACAGAATTAAGATAGTCATGAGGAGTTTTCATATTTTCATATATTTAATGATATTCCCTGAAGTGATAAAGGTGCAGTTGGACAGCTGATTCATGTGTGATCTTCAGAAGAGCTTTATTATTTACATTTATTAAATGTAAAAGTATAATTTAGGCTGATTATATTTATGAAATGAATTTACCTTATGCATCATACACATGGAACTATAAATTGCAAAACTTGTTATCACTTAGTTTTGGTAGTTTGAAAGATAGAAAAACAAAGCTGACAAGGCCATTGGCCTGATAGAGTTATATATTTTGGGTCTATTAAAAGCAGATATGTCAACCTCTAAATCAAGGGTCTTCAAACTTGGCAAGTTTAAGACTTGTGGACTTCAACTCCCAGAATTCCTGAGCTAGCATGACTGGAGGAGGAATTCTGGGAGTTGAAGTCCACAAGTCTTAAAGCTGTCAAGTTTGAAGATCCCTGCTCTAAATAAAAAGGCAGCAATAGACAAGCCCACATCAGAATCTGGCCAAATACAGCAATTTTCAAAAAAAATAAAACCTTTGCAAATCTACTCAGATAATTGGTACTCCTGCATTCAGTGGAATAACTTCATATAACCAGTTGCTAAATATGAGCCTTAAAATCTCAAGCTTATGCTGTTGCTGTATCATTTCTGAGTTGAAACCTATAGATAGTCTTTGACTTAGGACAGCAACTGGGACTGGAAAAACTATTCCTAAGCGTGTCATAATTTGTAACAAAGTCACTTAATGACAGGAATCCTTGCCTTTCCATTTACCATCATTAACCGAATCCCTGCTAAACAAGACAACTTCCTGTTAGTTTCCCACAACCAAGTCAATGGGGAAGTTGGCAAGAAATTGCAAGTTCCAGGTAGCTTTTCAGGCAGGATGACAGGCAAATAAGTGGCTGCTGCTGGGTGGAGAACAATGCGAAAGGGGCATGGTGAAGCTCTGGAACGATGTGTAAGGGTGCAAGGGAGGCTTGATGAGGCTCAGGGAGGGTCCACAGTGATATGCAAAGATGTGAGGGGGTGGTGCAACAAGACTTTGGGAGGGTGCAAGGATGTATAAGGGTGCAAGGTTCAATGAGGGTGCAAGGGGCTGCATGAGGCTGTGAGAGAGGCATGGCAAGGGTTGGGGAGAGTATAAGGGGTGGGTGCACAAGTGTTCAAGAGAGGTGCAGTACAGCAAGGGTCAGCATGTGTGAGCAAGTGGTGCAGTGCAAGTGCAGAGGGGCTGGGGGAGGGTGAGGCAGTAGCAATAGCACTTAGACTTATATACCACTTCACAGTGCTTTACAGTCCTCTATAAGTGGTATATATAGAGTCAGCTTATTGCCTCCAACAATCTGTGTCCTCATTTTACTGACCTCAGAAGGATGGAAGGCTGAGTCAACCTTGAGCCGGTGAGACTCAGACTGCCAAATTGCTGGCAGTCAGTAGTCAGCAGAATTAGTCTGCACCTGCAGAATTAGGTAGAGGGCACATTCCTCAGACATCTGCGACCCTCCCTGCTAATTTTCCCATTGATTTGCTGGGGAAGCTGGCAGAAAAGGTGCAAATGGCAATCATGCCACTGAAGCAGGGTACTTCAGTAGTCATAAGTGTGAGCTGGTTGCCAAGTGCCCAGATCGCAGTCACGTGATGCAGAGGTGCTAGGATGGGCCTGTACTTTGAGGATCCATCATAACCACCATTTGTTCAGTGCCGTTGTGACTTCACTGAAAAAGGGTTGTAAGTCAAGGACTATCTATATTTGTTATTTAAAATAATGTATCCGTGCAGGAATATCCAATTTTTAAATCATAATAAGCCACTAGCAAGATGTGATTATTACGGACTATCGACTGCACAGAGAAGTGCAAAATCAACACAGGTGCTATAATTTAGGACCAGGGATGTCAAACTCGATTTCATTGAGGGCCGCATCAGTGTTGTGTTTGACCTCGGAGGGGCTGGGAGGCGTGGCCAGCATAATGTCACTTATGTCAGGGGGCACTTGTGACAGCCCAAGCACTCTGCCAGCAAAAACAGCCTCCTGAGCTCCATTTTCGGCTGCGACGGTCTTCTACAACCCTCTGCCAGCAAAAATAGCTCGGGGGGGGGCACACACAGCGCTCGCAAGCTCCATTTTCGCTGGCAGAGGCACCATGGGCCGGTCCTTCGCTATTTTGAGGGTGGTCCCGCGGGCCAGATCTAAGCACCCCACAGGCCGGATCCAGCCCCGGGCCTTGAGTTTGACACCCCTGATTTAGGAAATGCAAAACTGTCTTACCCAGTTCATTCAACAGATGTACAGTATTGTAGTGGAGTTATTTTCATGTGCTACAAGTACCTGAACGCCTTAATTATTTTAATTCTCAAGTATTGAACATGCATATTCTAACAAAATAAAAATATAATCCCTTTAGTCACGTGGGACAATTCCATCCTGTCTTTATAATAACTACCAGCCTTTTCTATAACATTGTAAATGTGAGGAATGTGATTGTCTGGATATTTATGTAGAAGCAGATCACAGGATCTTTTGTTGTAATTGCTCTCACGTGTGCTTATGTTCGCAGCCTAAGTTTGCATTCTTGTCCATCTAACTTGGATATAAGCCAACTTATTAGCCTTCAGTACTGCATTGTAGAATTAGGAAATACAATAAAATAAAATCCAAATTATTTAAGATACCTACATTTTACCACCGCAAATGTAATTTGTAGTGCCAGTTCTGGATAATTTTAGGAATAACTTTATATCCAAGTTTTTATAAATTTTTAAATTTTCCATTTTTATGATCATTGTAATCAGCAAGCTAATATTTTAAACTGATTCGATAGATTTGGAAAAGTCAGGTTTTTTAAGCTTGTAAGCTCCATAAGTCTCTAGCAGACCTTTACAGAATATCATTACAATACAAGGAAGCAGTAGGAAGTACTGAATCTGCTAATACAGGGGTCCCCAACCGCCGGTCCGCAGACCGATACCGGTCCGCGGAACAACTCTTACCGGGCCGCTGGTTGCTGGGCGCCGCCATCTTTTTTTGGTAAAAAAGTGCTTCCGGTGACCTTTTCCGGGTAGAAAGCTCACCGGAAGCACTTTTTCATCAAAAAAAGATGGCGGCGCCATCTTTTTCGTCAAAAAAAGATGGCGGCACCCAGTTGATGCCGGTACCGGGCCGCGGCGCCCAGCTGATGCCGGTACCGGGCCGCGGCATCAAAAAGGTTGGGGATCCCTGTGCTAATATATCATACCAATGCTTTTATATATATTATATCAGTAGTCAGAAGCAGTATGCCCATGTGCCAATTGTACATGACGTGGCTTGGTTGTCAGTTGACTTTCAAATGCAATTTAAGATGCTGGTCATCTTCATGGCCTAGGTCCTGGAAAATTGAGGGACTAGCCTTCTCCAAAAGTTTCTGTCTGCTTGGTACTCCTTAGCAATGCCAAAGTCCTCTCTATTAAACATATTGAATATTCTTTATTCACCAAGTGTGAGTGGACACACAAGGAATTTGTCTCCATTGTATAAACTCTCAATGTACATACAAACACAAAGTGATAAATCATAGATTGTACATTATAGTTACAATCATAAGTCAGAAGATACAAATAACACATGATAAATCATAAGATACCAATTGAGAAGAACCAAGGAAGCATAACTTCTCTATTGTGACCCTACCCTCTTTAACAGTCACCCTCCAGAGTTATGAATGGTGTCCTCTTAAGATCAGGCTCTGGTCCAAGCCCTGGGGTTAATGCATGTAGTAATTACCTACTATTGTTATGATTGTTTCTCTCCAGGCTGACTTGTTTTGTATTATATGTTATTTATTAGATTTTTATTCCATCTTTATTATTTTGATAAATAATTCAAGGTAGCAAACATATTTGATATTCCTTCCTCATCCTGTTTTCCACACAACTGCAGCACTGTGAGGTGAGTTGGGTTGGGACAGAGTGACTGGCCTAAAGCTACATAGCTGGCTTTCATGCCTAAGGCAGAACTAGAACTGTCAGTCTTCCTGTTTCTAGACCAACAGCTTAACCACTTCCCCAAACTGTTTTTTTATCAAACTATTTGGCTTTTGTAAGTTGTCCATAACCTGTTGGAGTGGGGAACTATAACATGCATAGATACATACATTCCCATACATAGTTTTTTTTTCTGCTAGAGGTGCACTGACTTTGATTAATAAGTTTCAGAATTTGTAATAGAATATGAAAAAGTGATACAGTAGAAAATTGATAATACTAATTAAATTAATAAGTGTATTGAATTAATTACAGTGACCCTACTAATGATTATTAAGAGTTTTAGGTTAAGTGATCTTACTATCTTTGATATATATACAGAAATGTAAGCATATATTTATTTTATAAATTTGTGAAACAAGAATGGCTATAGATTCTGGAGTATGCTGTGAAATTGCATAAGACTATGTTTATCTCTACATGGAACTAAATATCCAGTTCCAAACATTTTTTGCAAAAAGCTTATTTATTTTGAAAGAAGAAATTAAGTATATTCTTTCTTGAAAATTTAAATCATGTTATCTGATTTACATCTATGATTTAACTGATCTTGCATAAATAGCAGGATATGATAAAAGAAAGAATATCACAGTTTCTGTGAGTAAGTTGGTCAGTTTCTAAATTTGATATATAAATAAATAAAATAAAATGAGGAAATGTATTAGTAGGTGATCCATAGTTTCAGCCAAACAAATTTCAAACATGGAGGATTTGGGCTGCTTGTTAATGAGTTATTCTTATAAAGTCTGGCACTCCTTTCCTGCCAAGTCAGCCTGCGGTCCCCTCTCGCTCCGGGCACTGATTCCCCCAAAATTTTTGCACAACCCCCCCAAATTTTAAAGAATTAGAGCTGTGGGGAGGCAAGGCACACTCATCTATTTCCCTCTACGACCGGCCTTGGAAAAGCCAGAACCGGATTTGGAAAGAGAATGGCTGGGGTGGAGGAGCTGTCCTTCTTAACAAGCTCAGAACCGTTGCTACTGTTCCAAACCTGGCTCTGGCTGCAGGCATGCGATTGTGAGGATGCTCAGCTGATCTGGGCACTCAGCTGGGTCGTGTGGAGAATGCTGTGTGAATGCAAAAGGCAGGCAAACTGGCTGGGCCACATGGGAGGCAGCTAGGCCAGGATTCAAGCCTTGCTGCTTGCAGTCACTCACCCAGGCAATTCAGGGCAGCTCATCTGGGCCACGCTTCAGCCGTGCAGAAGGCAGGCAAGCTTGCTGGGCCATGTGGGAGGCAACTAGGCCAGGATACAGGCCTTGCTCCTTTCAGGCTCACCCAGGTTGCCAGGCAGATCAGGGCAGCTCAGCTGGGCCACACAGAGAGCGCTGCGTGAGATGCATCTGAAGGCAGGCAACCTGGCTGGCCCTCAGAGACTGTGTGGTTGAGGCAAGCCATGGAGCCAGACAGAAGAGAGCACAAGCAGCTACGCTGGGCAAGTGGCCAAGATGAGTGACTGGGCGGGGCAGGACCAGCCAGTGGTGGGATTTGCCGGTTCTCTAAACTGTGCAAAATCATAACTACCGGTTTGCCTGAACCAGTCCGAACCAGCTGAATCCCACCATTGGATGTAAATGTAAACTTTATATTTCCCCCCTAAAATATACCAGAGTACGCGAAAGAATTCTGTAGAGCTACAGCTGAAAAATTTCCATTCTGAGTAGATTGCCATGATGCTTCTTTCTGGGCTGGCATGTACAAAAGGCTTTTATATGAATGAAAAATCTTCCTAAAAGTATCTTTTTCTGCTTTATGATCCAGGATATGCTCCAGCTTGCAACTACTATATAGGTTTGGCAAACTATTCTTTATCTTTCTGAATAAACATAAGATGAACAAATTGTGTTTAAGCATAGTCAGGTGGTCAAGAAAGAAAAAATTCTTGAAATGTGGGTTGTTAAATTACTGTCATTTCAGCAGGAGTGAAAAAACCGATCAGACCTGCTTGTCTAATGAATAATTTATATGTATTTCTTTTGTTTAGATCACAGATCTTTCACTACCAAACTACCTGATGGCTTCTTCCATTGGATTACTTCCAACTCAACTTTTAAACTCCTACCTGGGAACTACCTTGCGCACTATGGAAGATGTTATTGCAGAACAAAGTTTTAGTGGTTATTTCATTTTTAGTTTACAGGTAAATAGTTTCAACCTCGCTCAGCAATTTATTCTCATAGCATTTTAGGTTAACTTTTATAAATAGGTGTATTGTGTGGTACCCTCTTCTATTTGGGGCTGGGTCTTCCATAGTCTCTTACCTTGACTATATTGATGGAAATTGAACTACAAAATATTAGATAAATATCCCATAGTGTTGTGTGGCATTACTCCTTCATTATATGTAAGTGTTGCTAAACATATTCAGTTGGATCCTTCCATGAATAGAAGTTTCTCAGTCCATCTGAAAATCCTCCTAACAGAAAGGCTAATTCCTAAATTTTGACTGAAATGCTCATGCTTGGGGAGAAAAAACAAACTATTCAGCCCATTCTAGAAGCCATTGTAGTTAAATAATGCTTCAATTGAAGCAAGCTTCTGGATTAAGAAGATTTTCAGTTGTTTGCTTTGGAACCAAATGCAGTGGCTCAGCAATTAAAGAAGTAACTCCTGCCCATATTTGTTACAGTAATTGATAATAGTTGGAGTTTTGTCATTTTCCTCAAACCCAAAGTTACAAGGACTTTTATTTATTTTGCCAAAGCCTTTAAAGCAACATTTTCTTAGTGTTAGCATATATGGCAAAACTATGTGTGACAATAACTTACATTTTTTATAAGTTTGACATATGTTCTATAAGTATAGATAAAACTCTAAGAAGCAATACATAATAAAATGTTGGGAGCAGTTTCCTATTAGATTCCATGCTACAGGTAGTTCTTGACATATTACCATAATTGGAACCACAATTTCCATTTTAAATTGTTATAGGTTGAGCGAACCAATGACCGAACCAATTTTATGACTTATTATTATGGTCATAAGTCAATTCATGTGATCATGTCAAGTCACTCAGTTATAAGTGCGATTCCAGTTTAACCAATAGCAAATTGAATAACATGATCGTGGGACACTGCAGCTAGTTGGAAATGTGAGCCTATTGCTAAGTGCCCAAATTGCAATCATGTGACTGCAAGGGCAGGATGATGGTCATAAATTTGAATTTAGATTGTAAGTGCCATTTTTGTAGACTATTGTTCATTTGAACATTATTAAGGATTTCCTGTATTGACTTTTTTTAGTCATTTTCTATGTGATCCATGGCAACACTTGAAGGATGTGATACCTAGGGAACCTTTGCAGTGGGGTAAAAATCTGAGATTGACGAAGTATTTGTATGCAGAATGCATAGTCATTCATTAACTAGACCTGTGATGGCGAACCTATGCATGCGTGCTGGAAGTGGCACGCAGAGCCACTTCTGCTGGCATGCGAGAGGTCGCCTGGAAGAGCCCCACTGCACATGCGCACGCCGCCACCCAACAACTGATTGTCGGGTATCTAGCACACATGTACGAGGGGAAGGGTGCGTGGGAGACGGGGCGTGTGGGGTCGCATGCGCAGGGGGCTTGGGGTGTGTGTGTGTGCATTGCCTTCTGGGTGCTGGTGTGCGAGCGCAATTTTCGGCATAGGAGCCCAAAAAGGTTAGCCCCACTGAACTAGATTTTCCAAACTGGTATCCTCCAGATTACAAATTATATAATCAGCCCAAGTCAAGTTGGGAAAAAATATGTTACCTACTTTAGAGTATATGACATTAATAGTCAGGTGCTTTATCTGAATTTTTGGCATAGAGTACTGAAATATTAGTACGTGTGGCATTGTGAATGATACTTAGGAATACCAGGTAGTTCAGCATGATATGTGCAAGTCTTTCTCAAGAATATTTCCCAAGTTAAATCAATATCTGTGAAAAGATAATATTACTCTGTTGAAACAAATTTTATTTGTAGTTTGTAATGAGATACAGTTTGTCTTTTGGAAATGGCATTAATGTTTTAGTATTTGAGAGCTTTATACCTGAAAAGATCACTCTTCAGATCTGAAGTTTGTTAGTTTAAGCCTAAATTGCCTAGTGAATTCCTGGCAAAAATGAAATTCAAACCAGCAGTATTATACAGTAATTTGCAGCTCTTGTTTTGTATATTTTCTATATCACTTTATATTTAGCTGTAAATTTTGTTACATTAAACTAGACATGGGATTTATTTTCTAAATTAAAACTACTTGTTTATTTAGCTTAAACTTAAAGTGTTGATAAAGGTTGGCCGTGTATCTATATCAAAGACATAATTAATTGCATATCTTTTGTCACTTATTGCATGTATTTTGAATATTTTTATGTCCATGATTGCAGCTGAAAATATTAAACAAAGCAATTGTATCTGCTTCATTCACAGATTGTAATAAGTATAGGCCTCATGTTCTACGTTGTCCATCGAGCTCAAATGGAATTGAATGCAGCCATAGTTGCATGTGAAATTGAAATGAAGACATCGCTTGTGAAAAGCTGTCAGACCAGCAGTAACAATTCAACATCTTGCAACAAGAGGACACTTGCATTTTCTGGAGGAGGAATCAACATTGTGTGACTTCCTCTCATTTTCTGCAGTATTATCTTTGGTGTGTGAAACTGGGTCATTTAATAAGTTACTTACGACAGCTGGACTTTTCAGCAAAACTTAAAATCCAAGTGGCTGGAAGATGTACTGTGATAAGAAGTACGTGGCAGTTTTTATACAGTAAACTGGCTAATTTCTTGTAGGGTTCAATAGTAACTGTAAACATAGATGCAAATCTGGCTGCACTTTTGTCTTTATTATCATGACTTATAGTCTGCACTTTAGACTTTGTTTGCTGTTTGCTTTTATAAACTGAAGAATACCCTGAAATAATTTTCTTTCTGCTTAGAATTATTTATAAGACTAATAAATAGTAGATCTTTAATACTTATAAAAATGTAAAGTATGCAACTTCATGTGCAGAACTCTTAAATATGTGTGTTTTTGAAACTCAGTGAAACCTTGATCTAACAGTGCAGTTTGCAGAGTGGACTTTGCTCCTCCTGAATGTCTATGAAACTTCTAATTACGTAATTCCTGGTGATTTAGCTATCTGAGCAAATAATGTACGCTGCCACAAATGTTGTTATACTTGTTAAAAATTACAGCCCTCTTTTAGATTATCTTGGATAGAAAACTCCATTAATTGAAAGAAAATCTAGAGGGAAATTGACTCACTGCTTCTCCCTCGAGCCGCGAGGAGCATCCAGAGACTGGGATGTGCTTCTGAGTCCTCTTCTTGCAGGCTGAGCTTTAGATGAGGAAACGCTCCGCCCCCTCACGTGGTATCGCGCAGCGTCTCCCCAGTCTTTTGCTCAGCCTCGAAGAGTCAGGCTGTGTTTCAGAGAGCTCCTTGGCTGATCGCACATTTCTTTCCTATTACAACCCTCTCGTCTTGATAAGGTTTGCCTTTCCTTCCTCCTCCTGCGCAAAGGGTCTGGACTTAAGGGAAAATTTTCCCCGTCCTTGGGGCAAAGCTGCGGGCTCGCAGCGCGATAGCGCGACCCCCCCCCTTATCAGATCGCTTCGCTGCCTTCGCGTTGCCTCGTGGCACGCGTTTTCTTTTACTGCTGGATTCCCCCCCACCTTAAACGCCGATCGGGAGGGTCATCGCCCCTAGGGCCCTAGGCGCTGAGCTGACCAGCAAAGCCCTCCCTTTCTGTCCCGAAGGCGTCCCGACGGTTCAGCTTGCGGCCGCCATTTTGGCTCCGCATCGTGGTCGGGCGCCATTTTGAAATTCTTAGCTGCGGTGAATTGGAGCCCCAGGCCTTGGGTCAAAGCTTAGCTGCCCATTTCTTCCACCTGGCTCGCTCTTTTATTACTTGTTGGCCTCCCGCAGCCCGTTTTCGGGGCGAAGTTGCAGCCCCCCCCCTCCGGTTTTATTTTTCTTGTCTGGAGGCCTGCTGCCAGAGGCTCTTTCTTCTACCATAGGCCTCAGGTGTTTATTTGACTGATTGGCCTGTACTGAGATATACGAAGTTCTCACTGTTACGGTTACTGTTTAAAAAAAAAAAAAAAAGAAATCTATATATATATATATATATATATACTTAATACAAATACAAAAGGAATATATTAAAAATAATAATAATAATAATAATAATAATAATAATAATAATAATAATAATAATAATAATAATAATAATAATAATAATTTTTGTTTTGTACAATAATATTTTTTCGTAGATATATAAATATATACGGATAACCTGTATATACATTTGGTACAAAAGCATAATAAAGATAAAAAATCAATCAAAAGGAAAAGGAAGAATTACAAATTAGAGTATCTATTTTTCTGTACATACTATATTTCTTAGATACCTTACTGTTATCTCTGAACATAACAAATTCCAAAAGGGGGAGAGGGCCAGCTTCACCTTCACCCGGCCTCATCCAGGCCTGATCTGGGCGAGCCAACCGCCTTTGATAGTATTTGTATCTAACATGGCAGACGACAATCCCTCTAAACGTCCTTCTTTGAAGGCTAAGGCAAAGTCCCACTACTTGCGCAGGCAGGACAAGGAACCTAAGGGCTCTAGACAGGACAAGGAACCTTCCAAGGCCGCCCAACGTGACGCCTTAAGGCGCCACAAAGCGTTGGAAAAAGAGTTTGACCGGCGTTCAAGGGAGTCCCGCTTGGAGCCGTCAATACCTCCTCCTCCAAACCCTTCTACCTCTGCTCAATCTCTCCCCTCAGACCCCTCTTCCCTACCTAGGCGCAGTTCGCTTCAGGGTCTTCCGACCCCCGGACCTCCGACCAGACGGACCCCCGAAGCCACCTTTACACCCACAGCCGCTGGTCTGCGCCACGATGAACCCTCTACCTCCGAGGTTCCACCTCACATCAGGGCTTGGATGGAATCAGCCATCCGCCAGGGCATAGCAGAGGGACTACAACACATGACCAGATCAGGCTTCTCTCCGCGAGCCTCCGAGCACGACTCGATATCAATCAGATCCCTTCCACAACCGGTCCCCCCAGTTGATCAGGTACTCTCTCAGAGGGACAGCCCTCCTCCGATTGGGGCCCAGGTGGAGGAGGAAGGGGACTTTGGGGATTTCAGGGAAGAGGAAGAGGATTCCCGGATGGGATCCTCCCGCTACAGTGAACCCCTCTTAGAGGCTGACATCATGGAGGGGGAGATGTCGGAGGACGAGGACCCTTCCCCCGACCAACCCTCCTTTGGGGGGCTGTTCAAACCGCATATGTTCAAGTCCCTCCTCCTTAAGGCCAAGAATGTCTCTGGCCTTCTTCCCCAGTCCACTGCAGAAACCCCCCCTGTCCCAGAGGGCCCGGAAGACTCCATTTTCACCCAACCAGTGGTGGAAGCTGAGGTCATCCCATCCCCTCCCATCTTCGTAGATCTGGTAGCGAAGCAACTTACCTCCTCAGGGACCCCTCCCACTCCCTCTAGCCAAGACAAGAGATTCTTTAATCTCGATTCGGCTCTGTCTAACCTTCTGAATATCCCGGAGGTTGATGACCCCATTGTGGGTCTAGCCTCCTCCTCTACCCCTAGTGAGGCCCTAGAGGCCTTGAAACCTGAGGACAGGCGGGCGGAGCAGGCGCTACGCAGGGCTCACCTATCTGACGCCTGGGCCATTAAATCAGCTACGGCCGCCTCATTTTTCACGAGGTCCTCTATCCCCTGGCTACGTCAGCTCAAGGACCACATCCCTGCTTCCAATCTCAGAGCTCACCAGGATATAGCGAAGTTAGTGGCTGCAGCCGAGTTCTCGGCTGACGCCACTTACCAGTCGGTAAAATTTTCTTCCAGGGCCATCACGTCGCACGTCACGGCTAGACGCATGCTATGGCTCAAACACTGGCAGGCGGACGTAAAGAATAAGGTCAAGCTGGCCACTGCTCCCATTACGGGAGATAAACTGTTTGGCCCAGCTTTGGAACCACTGCTGGTCGAGGGCCGCAGTAAGAGAAAGTATCTGCCCTCCCTTTTTCGAAGATCGGAGGCCAGGGGCTCTCAGCCCTTTCGGAGGAGCTTTCCATGCCCCTTCTACCAACCCCCCTTCCCGCCCAGATACCCTAGACCCCCTTCCTTCCGATCCCAGGACCGCACGGACCCGGGCGACAGATCCAGACGCGGTGGCGGCTACAAGAGACCCTTTCGGGGATCGGGAGGAAGGCCCTACCGCAGAAGGTAGAGCCTCTTCCCCCCCCCCCCCCCATTGGCGGCCGCCTCAGCCACTTCGCCGCCCAATGGGACATATCCACTTCCGATGCATGGGTTAGGGACACAATCAGGTTTGGCCTCGCCCTGGAGTTCAGGTCCGCCCCCCCTGATTGTTTCTTCCCATCCCCCTCCTCAAGGGATCCCTCCAAACGTGCACTAATGGATGCTGCCATCCATCATCTTCTTGACATCCAGGCCATTCAACCTGTCCCTCCGGATCAGAGAGGAAAGGGGTTTTACTCCCATCTCTTTGTGGTGCCCAAACACTCTGGGGGTTGGAGAGCCATCCTGGACTTGAAACGGCTCAACCGTCACCTTATCCAGCGTAGATTCAAAATGCACACTTTGCAATCAATTCTTTTAGGCACCAGGCGGGGAGACTGGTTATCTTCCATAGATCTTTCGGAGGCATACCTCCATATTCCAATCAGGCCTTCCCATTTCAAATTCCTCAGGTTCTGTCATAATAGCCTTCATTATCAATACGTGGCCCTTCCCTTTGGACTGGCCTCGGCCCCCCGGACCTTCACCAAGGTCCTGGCGGCCCTGGCGGCTCATCTCAGGAGCGTTCCCGTCCGCCTCCACTGCTACTTGGACGATATCCTTATTCTATCCCCGTCCAAATCCCAGGCAGTCAGGGATACCAGGGTCACCCTCTCCACCTTACAGGCACACGGGTTCCTAGTCAATTGGCAAAGAGCCACCTTACCCCTTCCACCCGAATCAACCACTTGGGTGCCATAATTGATTCGGTTTCTCAAAGAGTTTTCCTCTCCCAGGAGAGGTTCCTTAGCATTCAAGCCCTGGTCAAACAGATCAGGTGTTCAAGGAGGGTGGCCTTACTGGACCTCTCTAAATTGTTGGGCAAAATGGTGTCATGCATCTCTATTATTCCCTGGGCCCGTCTACACAGCGGATCCCTCCAGTGGTTCCTGCTCCCATTCCAACGATCCGGAAGAAGCAACTCGAAGGCCAGAGTCAGGGTCCCTCCAAGGGTCCTCACGTCTCTTCTATGGTGGACCAATCCCGCCATCAACAGAGGCCACCTCTTCGCGGAACCTCAACGACTCACCGTCACTACGGACGCAAGCCTGTCCGGTTGGGGCGCTCATCTCGACTCGCTCTCGGCACAGGGCAGATGGTCGCCGTCCGAGCAGAGGTGCAGCATCAATTGGCTAGAGCTTCACGCTGTCCATCTGGCCCTGCGCAGTTTTCCTCAGATCCGCAAACATCACGTCCTCGTTCTCACGGACAACGTCACGGCCAAGGCCCATATCAACAGGCAAGGCGGCACCCAGTCCATCCAGCTAATGAGGGAAGCCGAGCGCCTTTGCCGCTGGGCAGAATCCAACCTCCTATCACTAAAAGCCGAACACATCTCCGGAGTAGACAATACTCAGGCGGACTGGCTGAGCAGGGCCACGGTGGACCAGGCAGAATGGCGTCTCCATCCATCCCTATTCGAGGAAGCGTCCAGAATATTCGGCCTTCCGGTGGTGGATCTCTTCGCCTCCCCGTCCAACACTCAGCTTCCACGGTTCTTCTCCCGGTATCCATCTCACCGGTCGGAGAATCACAACGCTCTGCGCTGCCCATGGCCCCCAGGGCTCCTATATGCCTTCCCTCCGCTCCCGTTAGTTCCCAGAGTAATACAGAAACTTCTTCAGGAGAGGGCAGACCTTCTCCTGGTGGCTCCCTATTGGCCCAGGCGACCGTGGTTTGCGGATCTCCGCAATTTATCGGTAGCGCCCCCATGGAGGATCCCCCCGGACAGGGTCTCCCTCTCTCAGGGGCCCCTTCTGCATCCGGAGCCTCAATGGCTCCAGTTAGCCGTCTGGAGGTTGAGCGGATCCGTCTGACTAGTGAGAATCTCTCGAGTCAAGTCATCGACACTATTTTGGCCGCCAGGCGACCTTCCACTACACGAATTTATGATGCCACTTGGAAGGGGTTCTGCAAGTGGTGTAGCGGGTCTCAGGTTGAT